CTAATTACTGGCATGTGACTATGAATATGCATTACAGTGACTGGGCAATAAGAGTGGGTGTTGCTCTACCCCCCCTCCATGGAGAAAGCTGTTGCAGGTTGTCATGGTGACCAACGCGAACCATAGTAACCACGCTGAATGTTCCATCCCAATTTTGAAGGCCAGAGGTCTCGCAGCGCTGCGTGGATGTCTACAGGCCTCGAGGGCGTAATATATGATATAGGAAATTCATTGGCGGCAACGCAGATCGAGGCGGCCCACCACTCTCACCTCGGGCATAATCACAGGCTCAGCTCTCCGTCCGCACAACAAGGGGGATTATAAAGAGCTCCGAGCTTGAAAATTTCAAGCATTCGTTTGAACCATCAACCTCGGGATGACCGCACACTACATCTATGTATTGCACGATGTTGTGTGTGTGTACAAGAGCAACATGTGGGGGTGCACAGTCAGAATGGTCCAGGGCCTTTTAATCACTGATGAGGCATTTATTGTTTATCGCTTGTTTTTTGATCCCTGAACATCCATTTTTTTGCCTTTTGTTTCCACTCAAGTAGCTTCAAGGTTGGAAAAATCTCATTCACACTGGCCCACTGTCATACAGGTTATGTATTAGCTCGTTACGACTCTCTTCATTAGATGTCATGTAGATATTTTGGACCTCATTTTATACTCTTTTCCACAAAATTCTGAATATCAGACCTGCAGCCAAACATTGTTCATATTGTTCAGTTTGGCTGCAGGTCAGTGGGTTCTAAGAGGTTGAGTGAACCACAGCAGAATTTGCACTTTGTTTACATGTTTACATGTCTATTTTGTTCCAAGGACAGCCCTTTAAACCACTGAGTACATGCACCCACTCCTCTCCTCTTTAACCAGCCTTGACCACAAATGGCCTAAGGTTCAGTGAAAAACACATTACCGCACTGAATTCTTGCAGATTTGGAAGGATCTACAGGCTTTGTGTTTTTAGATCTCAGAATCAAGCCCAGGACTTGATGTTGATGAATGACACTTATTGTGTCCATTTTAATCTGAAACTAATTGAGTTTACTCATAATGAAATTTGCTATATAAATAGCATTACCTTATGGCACATGTGGGAGATACAGATAGCTGTTTTTAAACTTTTTGTCACTGGTATTGCAAAATGAAGCTCAGTTTGGTTTTAAAGCTCAGTCAACTAGCCACTGAGGGCATCGTGATGACTCTCCAGCTTCAGAAGAGACAGACTGGCATGTGTTACAATAAACATGGATTAAGCTATCAAAGAACACATCAGTTCTGTTTCAGGACAGGAAGTCAAGACTCTGGTCTGGGATGTCAACAGTTTCTATGGTGAACACCAGCGCTGCTCTGACTAGTAGCATTTTAAATCAGAGCAAATTATTTTAAAACTGAAATACTCCTTGATAGAGTTGCCATTACTTATGAAGCAATGGAAATGCTAGCAACACGGTTTATGCTGTAGGCATATATTTAGATATAGTTTACACATAACAGTCAATAAAGCTCCCAACAGCTCAAAATCCACTAAAAATAGATTTCACTGATTTAAATGCATTTTAAGACATTTGGAAATTGGAGCTTTAAAACCGTTGTCAGTGGAAAGAAGCATAAATGATGCATCAATTTGGATTTGAAATAAAGAAATGTGCCTCAAACAGTACATAAATGTAAGTAAAAGATGTGTTATACAATAACATATTCATATAACAATACTATAGTATTATTCTAGATGTTTGTGTTGTTGTGTTAAATTGAGCCTATAAGCTCCACTGTAATTACTAAAGAACAATTCTATCTCTGTGGTAATTACATGTTTCATTGTTTGAAGTGGATCAGGCCAGTTTTAGTTTGTGTTGAACAGCATAGGGACATATTGCTTATGTTATCTAATGGTATCTGCACAGTGGGCAGTACCTGCTGATTCTTTTCATTTTTGTCTTTCAGTGAGAAACATGGGGTGAACTGATATTTTGATTTGATATTTATTCCTATGTAATTGTCAAATTTAGACCTGCCTTATTGTCAATGGGCTGTAGCCTCACTTAGAAATGAAGCATGTGCTTGTTTTCTCTGTTGCTTGGAACAGCCACTATTCTGCTTTTAGTGTGAAGTTATTGGTTCAGGATGCAGCGCAGTGCGCACTCCTGAGCCTTTCTCCAACTACAGCAACACCTCAGCTAACGAAAGTCCACTAACACCGCAAAATAACCAGCTCCACTACACAGACTCCAACACAAACTCCACTAAAGGATGAATACAACAATAAAGTTTTATGTGCTGAAGCCCATCAGACCAAACAAGATTCAGATGATCAGGTGAAAACAGTCAACACACTAACAACTGCATTTTAAAAAAAAAATCCTGGTAGTGCTCGTAGTGGATAATAAACAACTCACTTGGCCTACATAAATTCTTCAATTCGCTCGTCACTATTTCTTGGCAAAAATGTTTTCGACTTTTTTTTAATAACATTTTTATTTCATTGTTGTCTTGTGTTCAAAAACATTTTTTTAGGTGTCCCCCAGAGATCAGGGGACAACAAGCAACTGCTTATATAGCTTAAAAGGTAGGGCAGGCTCTGATTAAGTTTTAGGAACACAAAAAAAAGGTTTAGGGAAATGTCATGGTTTGGACTACTCCGAAGTTAGGGGACCTTTATTGTCATGGTTACAATAATCAACATGTGGTTAAGCTTAGTAAACAACTGACAGAAAAACAACTTTGGCTGGCAGTTGGAAATGTGTAACGTACAGCGGCCTCCTGTGATAAAGTCTGATATTGTGAGAAAGCCCTTAACTTTGAGGTCAGTAGTTACCAAACATGTATGAAAATCTTCAGAGTTGTTCCCAATTTAGGAAAAACTGCCTTTTCATATTGTGCACTCTCTATATGGAACTCCTTGAAAAAGATTCTCCAGAGGTGCTGGTAAGAGGATAAGGTAGATATCCCACATAGGCTGGATTCATTGAGTTAAAGTGTAGGTGTTTTGTAACTGTATTGTCAGGTGTGTGTCAGTGTAACTTATGAATGCTGCCTTACTTGGCCAGGTCTCCCCATAAAAAAATTATCTCAGTGGGCTTCTTCCTGGTTAAATAAAGGTTAAATAAAATGAAATAAAAAAATTTATATCATGACCAACTGATCCACCCTGACCGTGTCCCTATGTGGATTTAAGGTCACCTTGCTTAGTTCCTTTACTCCCATATTTACTACGGATGCCAAAGGGCTCTGTCACTTGAACGGAAGCAGAAACGTTTGGGGGCACTTGCTGAAATGATGCTGTCATTCTTCCTGCAAGGGCAGTCTCTGATTTTACCTGATATCACATACTGCAAGGTTTCTTCAGATCCCTTCTTTATTTGCCTTCAATCTGTCCAAGCTCCAAGCTTTCTAGAAGAAATTAGTCAGAATAGTCTTTATAAGAAGTGCAACCCAACTTAAAATATTTTATTCGTACAAGATTCATATGAAAAAGTGATCATTTTGTGTGTGTATCTTTTTATCTGAGGGATATCAGGTACAGCTTGAGGAAACAGGAATAAGCTGTTCTAAAGGGGGCCTGAGATCTCAAATCTAATTGACTACTGTATGTATATTCCATCTAATCTCAAAATGTTTAAGATGAACAGTGCATTTTCATCTGAGGACTGTGATGGGTATGTTTTCTCCAACCTCATTCTGCCCTCTGCTGTCCAACTACTGAAAAACAGAAAGGTATGACTTACAAGACATAACAGACGATTTACTTCAGTTTGCCAAATGTAAGATGCCTGTATGAAGCTGTGAACTCTGTGCCTTTGGTGGAATCATACAACAAGATGTCTGCTGTTTGTTGTTGCACTATGACAGCATACATATATATTCATAGAGTAATGTCATGGCCACAAATAGGAACACAAATAGCTATCCAACATCATGCCTGTCACAAATGCCTTACACTGAATTAAACTCAAGTGTATATGCAAATGATCTGAGTCTCCAAGTTCCTTTAATTTATTCTCATAGGCCCACAATATCATTCAGAACTACATTACTGTTTGTTCCTTGACACATGTAGCCTACTTTATTTTGGAAAATGCTCCATTACAGAATGTGTCATTAAAGACAGTCATGTTGGCTATTTATTGTAGTCAACTGATATATATTAAACAATACAATATGCTTAACAATAATAATGAAATCACTTGAATCACTACAACAAAAGTGAGATGTGAGCAGCCATTCAGTGGTCCAGAACCAGACTACTTAATAATATATGGTCTGTCCAGAATGCAGGGGATTGTACTTTTGTTTTGTTAAAAGTCATGCCATAAGACTTTTTATACCTTTCCTCTTTAACTGATAGAAATAGATATTGAGGTTCAGGAGTGGTAAGGCCAAGGGGCGAGGGTATAGAAACAGGAAACTCATGCTAAGAGGGAGCTCCCAATGATGACAGTTTCAGTTAGTGACCGTTATAACTTGTTTCCACACTTTCATGACATTTTGTGAAGATAACATCTCTTAGGAAATATCACAATGATCACATCAATGCTACTCCATAGTATAAGCCACCAACACTGCCTCATTTGTGTTAACAAGAGCATCACTGATCGCACCAATCTTTCCTTTCCAGTTCCTTACTCAAGTCACCGGTTTGTCCTCCTTAACTTTAGATTTTAATTCTCATTTTGTGGGAAACTGCAATGAAAAAACAGCTTTTCTTACCCAGTGTTTTCTGAGTATATCTTTTATAATGAGCGCTGTTGATGCTTTTAAGGTTCTTCACACTTCCAAACTGATGTTTAGTAAATGTATAAAATAATAAATTTAAGGCAGCATGTTGTCTAATGAACATGCATTAGGTGGATATCAGAAAAACGTCGACCAACTTGTTAATCCACCCCCTTATCAGCAGTCTGTGATCTACCCTGCTTGCATGTGTTTGGACTGTAGGAGGAAAAATGATTAAATAAACAGATAACACAACAAATAAAACAAGAGATCAATCATATGCTTATGGATGTATTTTAATAAAAATAATTCTGTCAAAATTAAACAGAATACAATATTCTTTTTTAACATGTTTCCAGTACATATGTTTTTTTTTTAATTATCATTTTTCCTTTTTTTTATATTGTTCTTTTAGGTCTTAAAAGTCATGCTAAGTAGAGGGTAACTCATTTCACAATAGTTTTTTTTTTCACTTTTATTTTTTGCTAAAACTCAAAAGTCAAAATATGAAATTAAAAGCATGATAGAAGTCAATTGTGCACAGCTTGTCTGCAATGCCTAAATCCATTTCTCCGGCCTCTCTGAAAGAAGTCCATGTTGCTTCAGAGGCCTCAGGTCCATTTCCAAAACTATTCACATCCCTCCTTTCCTTAAAACAATCACTGATCACATCAGTGGCTGTGTCTATGCAGGGATTAGAGGAAGGGTGCGTGGTAACAGCGCTGAGACGCAGCCCAGGCTCAAACACAAAGGACAGCTGGGAGACTCTTTCCCTAAAGGTATGCAACAGAGGTTGGTCTTTCACGTACAAGTGTGTGTGTGTGTGTGTGTGTGTGTGTGTGTGTGTGTGTGTGTGTGTGTGTGTGTGTAACAGAAGTCCTTTACAGCTGTAGAAGAATGTTGTGAATGTGAACTGTATGTGTAGTTATTAGAATAGTTCCTATTATAGCAGAGTGTGTTTATAAAAACCGGCTTGGTAAAAAGTTTGACCGCATACCCTGTAGTGAACCCCACATTGCATACGCACATCTCCTGTATTATATTATTCTACAGTTCTCTGCCATAGAATTAAAATGCTCTTATACATGGTAATATACACTTCAGGGTGGATCCACAAGCCATTTGCCAGGTCACAACAAAGCAGCCAGAGTGACAGTTTGCCACTAGTCAGAAAACATTCAGTCATTGTTATTTGGTAGAAAATAAGTCTGTTACAAAAATCAAAATGTTTTAAATAAAGCTAAGGGATGGAACAAAACAAGTTTGTAATGAAATCAAATTGTTGATGCACATGGAAATAGGATGCAACTAAGTTCAATTTGTAATTTTGGCATAAAGAATCATCTGTTTAGATCCAGAGACAGAAAGTGGATTATGGTGATCTTTACCCCCCCCCCCCCCCCAACTACAAGAGGAGCCAACATGTCCAGTATTATATAAATAAAGATTTTTTTAAATACTCTTTTGAACAGATAAGAGTAAAAGAGTGAAATATATACAAGAGCCAATAAACAGTGAAATAATTTAATAAATCAAAACTCTGCTCAGGCCCACTAACAGCTTGCTAGTCCCTGCTGGCTACATCAGAGACAAAGATTCTTCACAGAGCTGTGTGCCTTACTCTGAGAAACATATGGTAGCTCTGAATTAACCAGCAAATGTTAGCTGCTGTTAAGGGTAGCTCTTCACTTTGATGCTGAGTTATAAGTCCAAGCCCACAGCTAGCCTAGCTAGTTAGCTGGCTAGGTAGGTAGCATATGTAGCCTTGTTCAGCTAAATAAAAATAAAGTTACGGTCACTGTGCAGTGTATTTATGAGTAGAAGCAACTACCTAGTAGGTTCAAAATTACCAAACTAGAAAGTAAGTCAGCTACTAGCTGGCAAATAGGAACTAGGTGGTTACATTTTGGGCCACAAAAGATGATGTAGCTGTAATTTCATGGTGCTGGGGACTGGAAGTGGTGATTGGTAGTGTTGTAACTACTGATCTTACTCCTAAACAGGACCTCCTGGCCAGGAGCAATGTGGTTACTTTGTCTGCATATCTCATGGTGGCCATCAGCACACCTGAACAATAAAAAGATCCTTCTTTTCCATCTTTTTATTCAGTTATTGTACATACTCGGTAGCCATCTGGGACAAACCTGGGGTTTGGGGCTTTATAAATAAACTGGACTTGACATCCTCCTGTCCAATAAGGATACAGTCAAGTCAAGTTTATGGGTGTTGGAAAAACACTCCATTTCTCTAACACACATAATTGGTTTTCACAACCTCTGAGTGGTTTGGAATCAAAAGCCCAAGATGAAAGGACTGATTTAATTTTCACAAAGAGCACCCAAAAATTTAAAATCCTCCTGTTTGTGAAATTATGTCACCTGTTAATTTGAAATTTGAATGGCATCAGCACATGAAGAGAGCAGGTCAGGCTGTGGCCGAAAAAAAAGAGAGAAAATAAGACTGCAGTAATGAAATCCCCAGGGGTGACTTGACTTTTAGCCGTACACACACTATGCTTGTTAGTCTGCCTTTCATTCTGATTTTCTCTATGCTGGCATCAAAGTGACCATGATAATAGTGTTAGGTCTGAGCTCTGCCACCTGCAACCACATCGCTGATTGGTCGATGCTGTGGTCGTTACAGTAAAATTAAGGCTCCGACACCTGTAACAACTGAAACCCTTGTCATCACCCTCTCCCCTGGTTATTGGCAGTGTTCACCACTACAGTGACCCTTCAATTATGTTTTTTTTTTACACGGGTGATTTCTTTCAGGATGTGTCCTGCTCTTTGGTTACTAACCTGTTAGCTCAAAGAATTTTATTCTTGAAACATTAGATTACTGTGACATATAGAAATACATTTTTATTTCAAACTTTCTGGAATCATTTGAGGACCCGCTTTGTTTAGTAGTGTTTACTACTGTATGTCATCAGCCTTGACAAGAGCTAATGATCTGCTCCACACATTCAGAGGTGTTTTTCATGCTGGACTGCTCACCCTTCTGAATGCATTTCAAGACATGAATGTACTTCCAAGTGGATATTTTAGGGGGGAAAGGGATCAGAGTCTGTCTGTCTTCTGTATCTTATTAAAGATGATGGTAATATATTTCAGGTTGAGTTCAATTGACTTACAGTTGTGGAGGTCACCTTGCTAACCAGATGAGAGTATTGTGGTCTGTGATATGGTGGACAACAAGAATGTGAGTAAAATACTGCTCGTAGGGAATCAAAATCCACCCATAAAAACAGAAGAAAAAAAATATAAAGGGGAATTACAATTAGTTTTGTCCAGGATGAGCACAACAAACTGACAAAAAAGAACTATAAAAATGGCTAGATAAACAGAATAATAATTAATTATCTTTAAATAGTGTCACACATTTCTTTATTTGATAATACTAAATTAAAAGGAAGCCTTCTTCTCTCCCGCTCTCCTCTGCTCCTCTGTCTGTGCCGCTGGCTCGGGCTGACGGACAGCCAAACACACCAATCACACGCATGCTCTTTCCTCCGTCGCCTTGACAACTACCTGCTGGACATGCCTTCTCTCAGTGCTACTTAACATTAACCTGTGGAGAGACGGGTAATCATCTAAGCAAGGTAATGAATGAATGATTAAAACAGCTTGCCTTAATATTCATGTACAGCACAGATTTACTGTTTTGGCATTTTCACTTGGTTTGGGAGCAATTCTTCCTTTTAATTCACATACTGTATGATCTGTGTATATGTGATCCTAATATATCTTCACTGACAAAGAGAAATTCTGATATGATAAGCTACTGCAGTAACAACCCCTACAAAGCAATCAAAACCTTTCAGGATATGTTGTAAAATCTGTTAACCTCTGTTTAAGTAGCATCTTGCAATATAATGCAGAAATAAGCCACGATTGTTTGTTATTAATGTCTGTGGCTGTAGTATTAATGCCTTTTACTACATAAATTTACTCACCTGGACCTGGGCTAGTGCAAAAAGTTGTCTACTCTGGCAAAGGAGCAGGAACCAGACCGGACTCGGGCCATGAGCTGAACACACTCTGTGGCCTGGCCGAGCGCTAACATCAGTGGAGGCTGCTTAGGCAGATTTTGGGACTCTAGAGCAAAAACACAGTCAGCAGGGGAGAGTATCAGTCTAAAATTCAATATCAAAAGATACAGTGGTCATTATTGTCATCTTTTTTTTGCTTGTCTTGCAGACTCTGGTTACTTGAATTGAGTCTGCTCACTGCACTGTTGGACATCTTATTTTCTAACTTCAAAAGAAATTGTTTGCAGCCTTTATTCTTATACCAACAAAAAAACTGCTACAGCAGATAATCAGTCAAATTAGATTTCATTTTCTGTTGTAGTTGTAGTTCGAAGAAATATGTATCAGTGTAATACACAGGATGTGTCTGCTTTTTACCCAGTATGGCGCTATTGAGTGCGGAGCAGAGTGATTCTCTCTGCGTAGGGTCTAACTGCTGACCCACGGGGCAGTTCCACGGGTCTGAGTACGCTAGCAGGCTGAACGCATCCTACACAGACAGAGACAGACAGACAGAGGAATTAATGCAACACTGCAGTGCATACATCCTGCAGCTTCCTAGGTTGAGCTTATTTGTGTCGTTTGGCTCTAAATCTAGCTTCCTTATATCCACACATTTCTGAGGGCAAAGTGAAGCCATGATTGACACGTGACTTGACATTACCAACTGGTATAAATTAGCAACGTAGCTATGAGAAAAGATTACATTTACATTACATGTATTCATTTAGCTGTTGCTTTTATCCAAAGCGACTTACAACTGCTATTTATGTTTAAACCCGGGTCTCTCACACCAAAAGCATGCGTCTTATCCACTGCTCCATCACCACCCCAGACTGACCTGAGTGCTTCTCAAATAATATTACATTTCTCTACTCTTTGGTCTCTATTATGATGATACAAACTACAGCTGTTCCCAGCAAATGTATACTTTCGGCTCAGCACATGGCAGAGAACTGGTGTTATTGAGTGACGGTGGACATAAATATCTGACAAGAAAAAGTACAGAATGCTGCGACCAGGATTTTAACTGGTGCCAACTGAGGAAATCTCTTCAGCCCAGTTTTGGCTTCGCTTTAATCTGTTGAAGCACAGCTGTTTTTAAAATCAAGAATGTGTACCTGTAACATCTTCTTGTGTGTGGCGTTCTTTCCGTACTCGCGGCACAGCTGTTCATTGAGCGCCTGCAGCTCCCGTCCAAACTGGATCATCCTCTCTGTGGCTGCCTGGTTCCCTCCACAAAGCTGCCTACTATTACTACAACCCACATCTGCTGGCAACAGACACAGACACATACACGTGCACACACAGTTAAAGTAGACACATACAAACATCCTGCTGGAAGCTGAAAGTAAAAAAAATATGAGGAGAAAAGGCAAAAAAGCAAGAGGCGAGGTACAGTATACAACAAAGTGCATACAGATGAAGCAAATGAAGAATAAAGGGAAATAAAGCAACAGCAAATGTTGATGTGCGACTAGCAGGAGCATATGGAGTTGAGATTTGTGTGTATACCTGTGACCCCATTGCCAATGCTGTTGTCGTCTGGCTGAAGGATCTCTTCGTGCTTGTATGTGCCATTCATGATCCGCGCTGAGGAGCCCTCAACAACCCCGTTGGTATAGTGCTCTGCTTCGATCTCCATCTCACTGTCACTACACACACACACACACACACACACGGGAGTGTTAAACTCAAATTAAGGTATAGATAGGATAGGATAAATCATTAAGGTTCACCTATAAGTGACATGGACCATAATGTAAACATGTTACCTTCTGTGATGAAGTGGTTGCTACATGTACACCATGCTAAAAAAACGATCCTGTATGAACCCTTAAAGCCCTTGAAAACTGTTTTTGTTTTAAACACTAACTATTCTTGACTAAAAAAGCAACAATAAGAGTTGAAGTTCAGGGGGGGAAAAAAAACATCTTTAGCAAATAACCCACAACCTGCTGAATCTTGAATGGCGCACTGAAAATTGTGATGTCATCTTTTTCCAGCTGAGCCCCGCCCATTTCAAACCAAACCGGAGACAAAACAGCAAGGACAGAAATCTCTCGTGTGCGGCGACCAAACTTTGGCAGATAATACTGTGTCCGCGTCAGACCACATCGCACATAGTTGAGAAAATAGGTTTTCAGGGCTTTTAACAGAAAATAATATGCACTCAAACACAGCATGACATCTAAATGAAACTTTGCAGAGACCAAAATGGCACCTGCTTTGACATGGAGCAATCAAACTGACGTCCTTCTATAAATGTTCCAGTGGCATGCAAAAAAATGAAAATACAGTGCAGTGTCGTAGAATTTGCTAATGTTCTTGGTAATGTGTGCATTTACCTGTAGTGACCGTTAATTATGTACTGATGATTACTGTATATTGAGGGTACCTGCTACATCTCATAGCACTGCCTATACTTTTCACCATGCCTGCTGTGTATTAACAGTAGAGATAACATCAGGATCAACAAGTTCTATCTGCCCTAACTGAAAGTGACAGGCCGTCCTACCTGGTTTCCTGGGTGCTGTTAGCGCTGTGCGGCTGGCTCTTAGTGGAGTCGGAGGAGTTGGACTCGGTGTAGTTGACGGAGGAAGGGGAGGAGGAGGTGGAGGAGGAGGCGGAGGAGGACACGCTGGGGTATTTGACGCTGCTGCTGCCGGCGCCACTGTGGCTCTTTGACTTGTTGGTGGGAGTCACCCCGTTACTGCAGGTCGGGCTGTCTGCTCCTGGGTGACAGTGAAACACAGACACAAAGCTCATTTCTTACATTCACTGGGAAAATCATCCATTTTAGTGGCTGTTTTTAGGCATTTCCATCTCTATCTGTGCCGCTCTACAGAGAGGACAACAGTATAGTAGAGATGAGCACGTGTACCTCCGGTGTGCAGGTGTGTGTTGCCGGCGCCGTGGCGGGGGCTGATGCTGGGTGAGCCAGGATAACTGTCCTGGGATTTGGGCGAGCGAATGGTCAAGCAGCAAACCTCACTGTCTGTACCGTTCACCATCTCCACAAACTGGCGACACCTAAAAAGGTATACTGGTGTTACTGCTATTACTGGCAAGAGGTGCAAAGTGCTTCTGGTCAAGTAAACTCACATCCGCAGCCAGCATTAGTGAAGGTAAACTATCGATCAATCAGCTTTACAGATCATTTATTGTAACAACTCTTTGCCCTGCATATGATCTTAATCTTTAAACACGCTAACTTACTTCAACATGAATAAGAGGTTGGGGTTGTGTTCTAACAGGCCGGGATAAAGCTGCTGAGTAGCTTCTATGGCTTCGCCCACCCGTCCTGCCAGCACCAGCTTCTGTATTCCTATTAGACAAAAGAAACAGGGTGCTATTACAGTATATCGATCAAGAGGAATCATGCTTTCACAGCAAACAATTTGATAGAGGCCAGTGAATCATTCATAGCAGCCACGGGCCATTAAGGACAAACAATGCCAACAGTATCTCATGCTGGACATCTTTTGTTTCTAACTGATGGGATACTCTGATGTCCAAATTGAATGTCTTTGCTTGTAAGAACCTTTAGCATTGGTGGAGGGAATCCACCAATCCAATGTGAAAGTGATGGAAGTATTCTGTAGTAAAAACAGGCTGCCACACCTTAGCTGGTTTAAAAAAAATCTCAACATTCTTTGGTGCTGTCAAATGACTTAATACTGTATCAAGTATTTGAAACAAGTCAAATGAAAATGTGAAATAATATGGGTGTGGTTGGTTTGTTCACTCACTCTGTCTGTTCTTTATAGATGCCTGGTCCTCTTGTATCATGGTCTCTGTTGCTCTGGCGAAAGCTGTTGCAGTGGCACAGTACCCATGATGCACCAGGTAGCTGGACACCATACTGGAGACAAAACAGGGGAAAAATCGTTTACGGGTTGAATTTCTGACAGAATAAGTCTGGTGATATTCTATATTGTCAACAAATCCTACAAAAATGCATTAGTCTGTCTCTAATACTTTTATGGCTTTCTAATACTGCCTGTGGTTCTCAGCACCAAGCCCATAAAGTCCTGGTGAAGACTTTTCAAAACAGGTCATTATAAAAAAAAAGGGACAATCATTTCCAAAAATAGCTAGGCACTGACGTTTTTAGTAAAAGTTACTCAGGAGTATACAGTGCATTTGTTGGGGGGCTATTTTCAGAGGAGGATGAACAGAGGACTGATATATATCAGGCTTTGGATCTACAGATAATACTTGTTAGTAGTGATTCAATTGGTTTTGGGATTTGATACTAAGACAAATATAAACTCACTAATCTAAATCTTTAAGAGATGAGACATTAACATCACGGCCATACAGATAATTTATTGTTATTATTTAAAGTTACTTATCATTAACAATGCAATAGATATAGCAATATTTTTGAATTATTGTGTCAGTTATCATGTTTTTATCTGCTGGGGAATGGTTTTTAACTGATCTCACATCGCCCACCATCTTCACTGACTATAGAAGCCTTCAGCCTCTAAATGGTAATTCACTAGAGTGTAATGTTGTTGCAATATTTGTGTTAAATGTACCCTTGTCCTGTGCAAAATATTTAAGTAATTTTTTTTCAGCTGCAACATACTGTCATATTCTCAGCAATATTGCTGTAGTGTCACTCGAAAATGTGTCTTCTCATATTGACGTGTGTGTGTGTGTGTGTGTGTGTGTGTGTGTGTGTGTGTGTGTGTGTGTGTGTGTGTGTGTGTGTGTGTGTGTGTGTGTGTGTGTGTGTATTTGTGGACTGATTCTTACTTCTGCAATACGGCCTGCCACTCCCCCAGTCTCTCTCCTATGGGGAAGCGAGCTATCATGCCATGGATCTTGGCCCGCCATTCGCTCATGTAGTCCTCGATGTCGAAGACAAATGGCTGCTGGCCAAAGTTGGCGTCTACAATCTCACCCGGAGTTTGAAGCCCCACAGTGGGGTACAGGTTGGGCTGGTAGAAAGGTCAAATAATTCAGGTTATTAATATATATTTAGTTTATGCTAGCAGCAGATCTGTTTGTCTACTTACACTTATAAACAGTCCAACTGTCACCTAGAAACATCCTGGTTTGTGAAATCTACTGGAAATGCAAATAAGATTTAATGCCTCACAAGTTCTTCAAAGTTTTGGTCAGGGAAAGCCTCAGGTTACGGCTTGTTAAGTTCCTGTAATGGAAAACTGTCACTGGATAAACAGGCTGACTAACAGTCCAAACTGTAAGCTGGTTTTTTACTAAGCTGTCATTAGATTATATGGTTCAGTTGGACTGTGGTCTTTTGGTATATGCAAAAACTACCAACAGGGTATGAAATTACCACCAACACCCGTTTTAATGCCGTTTAGGTTTGACAGTGGTTGGTAACTCCATCTGCTCTTGCAGCCACTGTGGCCAGCAGCCAACTGTGATTTTGAGTTCCTGTTCTATTCTTAAAACCTATCTGTCTGGTAAAACGTTCCAGTTACTGCGGCCACTGGATAAAAAAAAGTTAGTTTTCAACCCAACTGTCAACATAAGCTGCAATTAGATATGGACCTACAAGGTCAATCTCCATTATTTATTATTTTATAGTTAATCAGTCACTACAGTTACAGGGATGGTATGTTAAGGATGATATGGGTCTGGTATCATAATATTAGCTCAAGATTTGTTACAAGTGTAATTTGTTTATTGGACATACTGTAGATTTTCTTCAAATATTTTCTCCAGAAACAAAGAACTGAAGCAGTGGTGGAGGTAACTGAAATCAGGTATGTGAATGAAAGTAATAATAAAAAAATTTGAGAGCACTGCAATTATGTGATGCACGTGTAATGATACTTACAGGGAGGTCTGTGAAGGCTACACCTAATGGATTAAAGGACAAATAGTTAAAAGTATAAATGATGATTTCCAGCTATAAAGTAAGCAATAAATAACAAACTACTCAGCACTATATTACACACTTATAATCTACCCTCGTGCATATACATTACACAACACGTTCACCGACCTAAACTGATGCCATTTTTGGTGTAAAAGCAAGTGTTGTTGATGAGGTTCACGCAACAGCCTATCACGTCCCCCGTGGTGAACGTTGGGCCGTATGGTTGGCCGGTCCCAGAGGAGCAGAAGGAGTGGCCGTCATCTCCATGGTAACCGTATGAGTGCTTGTCCCATCCTAAAATAGAACAAGGATTAGGATTAGTTTTGTCATTTCATACTTTGCCCCCTATGAAAAATGTGTTGTCAGCCAAACAACACTGGAAAAGGCTGATCAATATGCACGCTGTTTTAGAGCACCAGACTAATACGGCACACATCACCATCGTGACGCGCACTATAAACAGTTTCTGAATCCACAGGAGCATTCCGGGTCACTCTTAACAGTAGTTGCTACTTAAGGAAGGGAGACAGTTACTCATTGACTTCTGCTGCTCAGATTTTCCCATCTGACTACCGCTGCCTGCAGGGCGTCTCATGAAAATTCACACACACACACACACACACACAAATACACACACACACACACACACACACACACACTTTCTGACTCTTTGGCATGTGTTGCAGTGCTGTGGATGACCGGCAGGAGGATCTCATCTATGTAAAGAAACTGGTGAGTCACTGCCAACAAGAACAGCAGCACAAGAGGTTGAACCAGGAGACGCAGGGGGAGAGAAGAGGAGATGATGATCATGATTTGCTCATTAAACTCCAGACGGTTAGCTTACTGCAGCTGTAGGGTAAAAAAACTCCTTATTCAATATACTGCTCAATATATTTAGTAACATCATTTCCTTCCTATCTGGAAATAACATTTAATTTGGTACGCATGATAGGGAAAAATGGAGACAGTGTTCAGTAGGCCTTTTCCACAGCATCCATTTTGACGTGTCATGACAGTGGGGTTTCCTTCATTTATGGTTTCATTTTAAAAACAATTCCAGTCTCCATAATATATAAAAAAGTCAGGAAAAATAAAGTCAACATATCCTCCATCTCTTTAACAGAATAGTTCAACAATTTGGGAAACTTGCTTTGAAGCTGAGAGTTAGAAGAGAAGAGCAAGGTGATGTTCATGTTCATTAGTGAGCTTGTGGGCAAATTTGACTTTTTACTTTGGGAGAGCCAGGCTAGCTGTTTCCCCCTGTTTCCAGTCTTTATGCTAAGCTAACCATCTCCTGGCTCTAGCATCATATGTACAGAGAGTGATATCCATCTTCTCATTCAACTCTCAGCAAGAAAGCAACCAAGCATTTTTCCACAAATGTAAAACTACGACTTCGACCAACGTGTGACCCCTCAGATCCAACCCACAGGTTGAAAACTGCTGACCTAAAGAGTCTTTTAGTCAGTGTACAGCAGCTCAGCTGAACATGCAATAATGTGCAACAGACAAGCATCTAATTTAACATATATATAGGGAAGAGTTTCCAATTATAAATGAATCATGCATAAATAATTATTGGGTTTTCAATGAAATGAAAATAAATGAAGTATAAGTTTAAAAGTTCCTTTATGACTTCAGAATAGGAACCATCAAGCCCACTTAAACACTGCATGGCCTTCAAAGTGTGTTCTAACATCTAATTTTATGACACAGCGCTTAACATTGTCCTTCTTTTCAGTTGATAAAACCTCAAATAACCACTGAAAAAAAGAAAGAAGCTTTGTGTATAGCAGACACCGCAGAGCAAGAGGTGCTAGTAACAATCCAACATGTAGTCTGACCTCAAATAGCCTTTATATGCCACTCTTCAAGGGGCTGTGAAGCGCTCTTTACAATCTATCCGAGAGCAATTTACAGCACTCACACCAATATTGATCTAACACCAGACAGATTCCTGTATGTTCCCCAAAGCTGACAGACAACCTCAGCACGGTGTTTTATAGAAGAGCAGTAATGACTTTCTGCCTTTATTTGAATGTAACATCTCTAACAAACGAGACAGATCTCAGTCATGTAAGGTCCAGTGAATCTAAACCAGCTGACTAACGTCTATTAAAACATACAGACAACAAAAAGCTGACAACAAGGCTGGGGCATGATTTCTCTGCAGTGAGAGGACATTTTTTAACATCACAGATCCACTTGCAGATACTTGAATGACGAGCTTGTTATGCCTGAAGTTTTACACTAATCCAGTTTTGCATGAATCCCTCTTCCTGAACTGACCAAGCTGAAAGAGACCCTAACCCGACGGCGTTCAGCCTGGGCTCGCTGCCGCTCTGTCAGTCTCTCTCCTCAATCACAGCCTGTCTGTCGTTGCCAAAAAGCAAAGCAGGGTTAGTGAAAGTAGGTCATGGGTGATCCGAGATATTAGATGCGTACTTGTACATGTGTCTGTGCGCATCCGTGAGTGTGTAATAAAGTTATTTTTTGGGGGGGACGAATATATTGGCATTACGTTTGATCAGCGCACCAAGACCTATACAAATGATCCCCCCCAGGTCACTCTCGTCTCACCCCATCTCTCTCTGTCAATAATCTTCACACAAAGTTACCCCCCCCCCCCCCCCCGAAAAAATAATTATTATTAAAAAATTACATTATTTAGTAAACCAACTAAATAAATAGAAGAAACAAAAATAAATAATTTAATTACATAAATTAAATATATAATAACTGAATTAAATGGATATAAGAGGCATATTACATGTAAAAGGGGATGAGATGTGATAAAGTACATCTAATCCAAAGCCAAATGTGTTTGTTTTTGTGTTTGTGTGCACTGGTGTTTCTTTTAACTTGAGTGCATACTCTCTCCATGCGTTCTTTTGTGAATATATGTGTATATACTTCAGTGTGTGTGTGTGTGTGTGTGTGTGTGTGTGTGTGTGGTGCTGATGGTGCTGGTGGGGGGGTATTAGATTAATCTGCTGACAGGGATATTGCCTCTAAAGCCAGGCTCACTGCTCCAACATGCTAATGAAATGGGCAGGCCTCCACAGCAGGATCAGACACAGAGGTCAGCACTGGAGAACACTGTACTATTACGGGACACAAACACACACACATACACACATATACATACACACACATACTCACACACACACACACACACACACACACACACACACACACACTCTATCTATCTATCTATCTATCTATCTAAATGCAGGAGTTCACCAGCACATGTGCAGATGGACATAAACATGTGCACAAACGCACATAGATGCACAGGCTAGTGGGGGCAAACATAAACAAGTACACTCAGAAACGCAATCAGTCGGTTCAGGACACACACAGATAAATCCAAGTTTGGGACAAACACACACTGGCACACAAACACACTGAGGCAGTCAGAGTTAAGGCAATCAAACGGTAATCTGTCTACCAGGGCTACAGACCATCTGTAGTGGAAACATATCAACCAAAAATATTTTCATAACTGGTGCTTCAGCAGGTTTGGAAAACACATCCATTCACGCAACGCTGTTCTATGCTATTCCACTCTTTGTGTGACATTTAACAGGTGAATCAAGAAGAGAGGAGAATGAATGATCTGTGTGTGTGTGTGTGTGTGTGTGTGTGTGTGTGTGTGTGTGTGTGTGTGTGTGTGTGTGTGTGTGTGCGTGCGTATCTAGAGTCTGCTGAACTGGCTGCCCTGGTATCCACAGCATTCCACAAACCTCGGCCACCGGACAGATCTTGACTAGTCAATAAGCAGCCCCAGAACGTGATTGGTCAGAGCAGAGGAGTGGTCTGATTGGTTGAGAGAGGCAAGGGGCTTTATTCAGGCTCTCGGCTGCTATATGGCTACTACGCTTCCTCCTATGTCATTAGAGATCGCTGAACCATTCATGGATGTCATTGTTTGTTTGTGTGTGTGTGTGTGTGTGTGTGTGTGTGTGTGTGTGTGTGTGTGTGTGTGTGTGTGTGTGTGTGTGTGTGTGTGTGTTTACTGTGTGTATAGGGACGTGGTGGGCAGGGGGCTGAGGTCACAAGAAGAAAAAAAAGGCCTAAACAGAAAAAAGACAACTATTGACAGTGGAAAAGTGGAACCTTATTGTGTTACATTATGGGAAGTGTAGAATGATGGAACCAGCGTTTTTTGGGGCTTAAAGCTATACTGTGGGGTTTATGACCACTAGTAGTGCTATGGAGCATGTTCACAAGTTTTTACATGTGTGTCTCTGTTCTGTTTATATCATGCATGCTCGTTAGCCTGAGGGCATCCCAAAATGCATTTCTGTCGCCAGTTACACACCATTCCGCTGATGGACAGTTGGTAGTTGTAACCAGGGCTGGAGTCTTTGGAGTCAGTTGGTGTTATCAAGTTTTTGAGGGCACAAAGGCCAAATGCCAGGGCGGCAAGGCCATAATTTAAATCCACAGGGTTGTCTTATAAAAGGCACAAAGACAAAACGTGGTATTATGTTACAAGACGCAGCAGACAAGGTGACAATCCTGATGACGGCTCAACGTTGTGATGTTTGCATCCATCTGCGATGGACGATGGCATCGTTTATCGGCCCAACCCTAACACTACAGCAGACAGAAAACTTAAAACACAAGCAACACGGAACAAATGCATTAAAACTGCAAGGAGATGAAGACAGAGCGAAAGCACCTGGACGCCAGAGAGATGTGACCCACGACTAAGGCTGCACCTAATGATTATTTTAAAAATCGATTAATCTAACACTTATTTTTTGGATAAGTGGATTAATCTAGCAACTAATTTTTTTATTATTCTAAAGACTGTTTTATTACCCAATTAATATAAAGATTAAATTATCCACAATAACTTAAAAATGTAATATTTTATTCAATCGTGAATGAGTCTAATTTCCACATAACTGCTGTGTTATGACATTGGTAATAACAACAGACCCTATTTGTCAGATGCCTGATCAGAAAATTACTCAAATTCAGAAGGATTGCTGTGACACACATTCATTTAATCACTAAGTGCCTTTCCCTGAACTAGAGAAGTATATGCAGAGATAAGATAATCGCTGGCAAATGTATTTTTGCATCAGTGCAGGGCAAAGAAAGTAAACTGTATAATATTATTTTAAGTCATTTTCTCACTCATACATGGCATTAAAGTACACAGAAAATTTAAAACAGCTGAACGTTAGAGGACACATGGTGTAACGTTACCATACCATGACAGCAATGGTGAGAGATTACTTTAAACATTTAGAAAACCATTTTCACGTGACTACTACTTACGGAAACACGTTCCTTGTGTTGATCATCCTAATATATCGAGCTTGTGTGAGGACAAACAGGAAACAGTTTTCGCCGTGCTGTCTTGTTGCCGTCCTCACAAGAGCTTACAGAGTACCGTTACCACGTTGTTGGGTCTCTGTCTAAAATACTCTAAAACTTTAGATGGTTGTAGCCTCAGCTTCATTGTGACGCACCAATATGTTATGCAAACTGACTGCCCCAGCCCTACCCACAACCAGTTCACCAGAGTTTAAAATGATGCAGTGCAGCGAGGATACAGATGTTTCATAGAGAAGACGAGCATACATCACAAGGATCTATCTGTCTGTTTGTCCCTACGGAGTAGGGCTGTCGCAATAACCACAAAATTGAAATACCGTGCTATTGGTCAAGCCTACCGCAGAGGATGACTACAAACTCTGAAGCTGTAAGTGTTGCCGTGTTTTGTGTTGCTTTACTGTGTATTTTAAAGGTTAGCTAACTTGGCGTTAGCATATTGCGCGGCTAATGTGGCTAGCATTAGCTGCGCGGTGGAAATTACTTCACCGCGACATCCTTACTACAGAGATTGTGCAAACAAATAAAAAAAAAAAAACAATTAAAAAAGGATTTTAGAGGCTCCACAGAACCAGAAACAGTAACATCAGGCCTTTAGATCGAAGACGCTCCCGTTCTCTCACTCGTCCACATGAGCTCTCTTGTTTGACATTGATGAGCACATTCACTTTATGAAAAGGTGAACATGTTGCTAAATACCCAGCTAGCCAAAACCAAACCTTTCTTGCTTATCCCTATTGTCTTGTGTCTTACGGCTTCAGCTGCAAAACCCTGACTAACAGTTGGTATTGGTATTGAGGATATTGAGGAGCAGGATACGGGCTGGTGCACAATCAAAGTGGGCCGATACCTCTCTCTGTCCGTCTTGTTTGGGCTGCGGTGAAGCCCACAGAGCGACCTGGTGCTCCCGATAGCCAGTCCAGTTTCTTGTCTTATTCGTTCGCTAGTTTATCAAACTTTCCCACCTCATCTAAGCCAATAAAAATTCATAATCTCAACAAAAAAACACAGGCCTAATGCTGAAACGATTTATCGATTAATTCGATTACTAAAAAGCGCCAACAAATAGTACTTCGTATAAGATTACTCAATGAAAATTAAATAATCTGTAGAATACTCGATTACTAAAATCATTTTCAGATGCAGCCCTACTGCGGCCACAAGGCATTTCATCTGCAAGGCCAAACTAAGCGACAATGACCTTAATGGCCTCTGGGACGAAGGATGAAGAAGAAAATACATTAAACATGTTTGTCAGACCACAATGACAAACACAATGCATCTTGATGCACTGATTTTGACCATTCTTTTCCCCCAGCTCTATGAAAGTGAAATATTAAATGAAGTTATTGTACTAAGACCAAATCACCTCCCATTATCAGAAGACATGGTTGCTCTGGATGGCATCGTCCTGGTCCCTGGACCCACCGTGAGGAATTTGGGAGTTATTTTAGATCAGGACTTAACATGTTTTAACACTTCCACATAAAACAAATTACAAAGAATGCCTTTTTTTCCCCCCATCTTTGCAATATTGCAAAAATAAGGAACATTCTGCCTCGAAATGTTGCTGAAAAACTAGTCCGCACATATTTGTTACCTCTAGGCGCGATTACTGTAACTCCTTACTATCAGGCTGCTCAAACAAGTCTCCTAAGAATCTCCAGCTAATCCACAATGGCTCGCATTCTGACTAGAACTAGGAAGAGAAATCACATGACTCCTGTTTTAGCCACCCTACACTGGCTCCCGGTAAAATCGAGAATTGAATTTAAAATTCTTCTTCTTACCTACAAACCATAAATGGTCATCTGAAGGAGCTCATTGTCTACGTACTACCCCACTGGGGCACTGTGCTCCTAAAATGCAGGCTTACTTGTGGTTTCTAGTGTCTATAAAAATACAACAGAAGACAGAGCCTTCAGCGATCATGCTCCTCTGCTATGGAATCAGGTCCCTGTTTGAGTTCGGGAAGCAGCCAATATCTCCCTTTTTAAGACTAGGCTTAAGACCTTTCTTTTTGGTAAAGCTTATAGTTAGGGCTGGTTTCTTCTCTTTGATTAGACTCATAGTTTATTATAAAGTTTATTTCATAATTTCTTTGATAAAGAGTTTTCTTCATTATCTTGTTGTTTATGCGCTCAAGTATTTTATTATGTGTTTTTATTCTACCTTGGGTATTTTCTTTTTTGTGCCTTCTGTATTTCATATTGTAAAGTGTATTGGGACCATGTTACTGGTGATTTTGCTTTGAATTTAACTTACTGGGGTATGTTTATAAAGCTAATACTATATTTTGCTTCATTTTGGACTGTTAACATTACTTTATTCTCACTTTTATGGTTGTTCATATGGAGGTCACATGTGGAATTACTGAAATGCACACTGTAATAATTTAGTTAAAATTCAAACTAAACTGAGTTAGTTTTCACTAACAATTTATTTTTTACATAGATTGCATTTTGATATTGCTTGTAATGACATCCTCTGATTTGTAAGAAACACTGCACTAAAACATGTTTACAAAAATGCATATTCACTTATCGGTTCAGGCTCAGGCCCAAAAATATTTTCTATGTAAAATACTGGTCTGTCATCTATCTATCATTAAAATGTTGGACTTACTGTAAGTCATATTAGTCGGATGTCTGACCGCAAACATTACATTAACTCATTTAGCTGACACTTTTATCCAAAGAGACTTACAATTGCTATTTATGTCATAGGTCACACACCTCTGGAGCAACTAGGGGTTAAGGTCAGGGACACATTGGTGGACATGTCACAGTGGGGAGTTGATCCTGGGTCTCTCACACCACATTCATGTGTCTTATCCACTGCACCATCACCACCCATCTGTCAATGATCCATATGTCTGCAGTGGCATGTCCTGGCATGTCCTGGCATGTCCTGACATGTCCTGACATGTCCTGACATGTTCTCTCTGCATCTGTCAGACTGTTCAGACTGAATACACAAACCACATCCGATTACTAAAGCAACGCCACACGCCCTCATCGCCTCCTGCTTTCATCCCAAAATCTCATACATGTTGGCACTTCTCCAGCTACATCCACTTATTCACAAAATCCATTTCGTGTCACTTTCTTCGTTGCTTTCATCCATCCTTTACATCTTGCCTCCCACACATGGAGATATCCTCCATCAACACCATCTTTGCCCACTCATCCAGCACCACAAATATCTATAGCCAAGTGCTAATAATCACCCCCTTTGCAGTGTTTACGATGTTAAACAATTGCACCGCACTGTAATTGCTTGATTGTATTCTGAGCCAATGGGGTTGGAGGGCTGGACACGTGGGCCAGTAAGTGATTAGAAAAGTTCAGGGTCATGGTTTTGGCCAGCCCCTCCAGAGCTTCTTTATTGTACCGTGCAGACTGTCCTGTGTGTAACCAAAACTGAACAAAAGAAGAGAGCGCAGCAGGATATTTTTCTTCCCAGCTTGCCAAAGCACTGGTCCGATCCGACTGCTAAGTGTTTGAAACTCTGGCTCCAGACCAGTAAGCCAATGTTACAGCTGGACGCTGGCTTGATGAAGTACTTGCTCTACACTCTCTGTTGTTGTTGAGTAACCTTGGGAATCCCTATCTCACCCAATCTCCCTGATTGCTCCCACCACAGACTCCATCCTCCTGTTCTACCATCCTTTCATCAATTCATTCCATCATCCACCCGCCCATTGTAACATCCTTAATTTAATTTCAGTATCGATCTATCTAACAAATGTCTATCTGTGCATCTTTCTATCCCCCTACTGGTTTTGTTAACGTGAAATCATTCACATGTTACTCACCGGGCAGTCTGTTCATGTTGACTCCCTGAGCAGACAGGCCGATGCCCATGTACCTGCACACAACAAGAAGAAAAATACAAATTGTAGTAGATTTGACATATTTCATAGCACGCACCCATATTTAAACATATCTGTAATCGCTCGAGAGTATCCACTTTTAGGTGTTTTCTCAGGTTAACTTACAAAAAAATATTCAGACAAAGCTCTGGATCATATTTTAAGGTGTCAGGCAGAGATGACTTTGAACATAGTGTCTTTGATCTCCTTACATATCCCAAATGTGCGGACTAGTTATGGCATAGTGAAGTGTCTCCAAGGGAGAGTCGTAACATCAAAAGGGACAGCGAGAGTTGAAGCTTAGGGGTCAGCAGTGACATCATAACTCCGTCACATGAGGATAAGCGCTTGGCCTGCATCCTTTTCATGTAAGCAAGCTTACGAAAGCCCAGCAAAAAAAAGACTTTATTGCTAGACTGAACGAGTCATCAATATTGTCAGTTGACTTAGCTCACTTTGGCACATGCTGATGTCATCACTCAAATGCCAGCAATGAATTATTTCTTCTGTAAGCCCAATGGATGGCCTTATTCACAAGTTTCCTGCTTTTTCCTGTGTGTGAGTGTAAGAGGAAGAGGAAAATACATTGATGTCTCATCAGTCAACAGGAAGATGTTTTTAAGGAAGTTGTCAAATAAGTTGAACTACGAGTGGGACAAGAAGTCAATATAATTTCTCCAGCAATTGTTAATCTAGAGAAGAATTCTTCAGTCTGCCATTTAAAAAAACAAGACAAAAAGTCTACTGCCATGTTAGCAGCTCTGCTCAGGGACAGCAGTACTTTGAGCTCAACACTACCATCAGCAGAAAATTTACATTTTGACCTGATGATGGCACCAACTTAAATATTAAGGGATCGCCAAATACGCACATTAGCTATAGTATCCTTATAGTTCATATTTCCTTACATAAAAAGTGAAGAGGAAAAATTGTTGTTTTCTTCCTTTGAAAGACTGGGGACCACAGGATTGAAATTTTGTGTAATTGAAGTCACAGTTCAGTAGTCACTATCATATTTGGGTTTATTTTATAGCCCCGTTTCAGTGGTATAACTTGGAAATACACATACACTGCATGTTATTACAGTGGAAAGTGATACCATTACTCACATGCAGTATTTCCTGACATACCGCTTCTATCTGCTCTGTAAGAATGAAAGGAATTTCCATTTAGCCGAGTTTGTGATGCACCGTATGTAATTATTTCGGGTTGCAACCTTCATGTGAATTTAATATGTTGTTAAGTTCTGCTTCTGGTCCAGACAATCACTCGGTACACTATGATAAACTGCTGTCTGGTGTTTCTAATCTGGCAGCTAAGTTGATTTGGAAGGCTTTCCTATTTACAGCTATGGTAGAAGTACTAGTTCCACATACAGCTCTAACCCACATTGCTTTTGTCTTTTACACCTCAGTTTTGTTCAGCTGCTCAACTGGAAGTGGGGGTGTGTTAAAAATGTGTTATGCAACCTGAGACTTAATGGGAAGGATGGAAGAGAGTTCACAGGTCAAAAAGTGAGGCTAAAAGCCAGGAATCTGGAACAACTGGTAAAGTAATTGCAGTGTCACGGGTACTGATCAACAACCCCAACAATCCCAGCAGATGCGTTAGCTAAGGCGCAGTCATTTTGCCCCATACAGTTCATCTTTGACTTCTCTAAACTACAAGCCAGTGACATGTGTTTGTAATGCAGCTGTTTGGAAGCTTTCTAGAGACTCCCGGGAAAAGTCAGTATGTTGAGAAATCGGGAATGCCGTGAAATAATTCCCTCACTGCTAAATTCAGTTTAAATTCTAATTTAATTCAGCTACTAAGTAAGTACTGTGTCAACATAATAATACAATTATATGATAAAACTATGAAACTATCTGCTGGATGTTCTTTTTTTGATGTACATTTGTAATGTTCTATTCCTGTGTCTGGCCAAATATCACATTGAGATCATTTCTGTAAAGCTCAGATGAAGGATTGGATCTTTCTGCTGCACAGAACCTCAACAGCCAGGTTTTGCCCCTAAGATTTGATGAGCCAGGGCGTGTTGCTAAAGCTGTCAATTTTGGGTTGTAACATCCCTGTTTTCACTGACACAGCAGATGACCAAAAGTTTAAATGTCTACCACTGTTGATGCAACTCCCTCTGTCGTGTGACAATGAAACATTTGGCGAGCAGGACAGCTGATTCAGGTATTGACAACAAGATGACTGAGACCACTCTCATGGAGGCCGTGAGCGACATATTTAGAGGCACTGTTGTGTATGCCAATTAACTTGGGACAGTGATATCAAGATTGCTTTCTTTATGCAAACTCAAGGTGAGGGAAATGCTGCTGAAGCTAGTACACAAATTCACAAGCAACAATAGTAACCCAGGGATGCCTGACAGGCCTAACAAGCCTGAAAACATTATATAACTTATTAGATTAATTTAGTTGTACTGGTGCTGACAATTTCACAGCATACAGACTTTGTCGGTAACTTTTTCTATAATGCATTAAAGCCTGGAAAACACGCACTGGTTATAGACCTATCAATTGTCATATAGCCTGGCTGTGTAGAAATCTGTGAGGCTACGAATATGTAACAACTGCCAGATTTAGCACACCAACGCACTAAAGTTTGGTATGTAGGGTTTAAATAATTAGCTGATAGCACATTACTTTTAGCATCTTAACATGCAAAATGAGCGTGTTAACGTGGTAACATTTAGCTTCTGTTTAGCATGTCACCACATCAACATGTAAGCATGAAAAGTACTAACTGTTGGAATTTTAGCTAACTTAGCGTGCTAGCATGACCACAAACAAACCTAACGTTGGCATGCCAGTGTGCTATGTTAACATTAATCTCAAAGCACAGCTGAGGCCTACATGAATTCAGGGATTAGTTTTAGAAGGACCCTGTTATGAACAAAGTGTTGGACAAGTGGTGCTGCGAGGCAAACATGTGCAATGACATTATCTTTCATCCTGTGTGAACCCTGAATTTCTGTACCAACTTTCACAGCAATCCTTCCAATAATTCAAGATAAGTGAATTAATAAGTCAAGACTGACCAACCAACCTACATTGTTATCCCTGGAACCCGGTGTAGTTTTATTACTAGAGATAATTTAAACTCATGTTCAATAATGGCTATTTGATAAAGACTTATTGTTTGTTGCTAATAGCCACAATTTCCATATAGGCACAAACATATTTGCAGAGTAACTCCTGCTCGACAATTATGTTTGGTGGATTTTAAATAAGTGAGCACTACAAGTTAACTTGTAGTCACTGTTGCATTCCACCAACTCTTGGCAGAACTGTCAGTCTGCACAGTTAGCTTGCTCTAGAAATCAGTGTGAATCTGTAAAACCTTGTTCGCCAGAACTTTGCTCTCATGATATTGGCTCCTTTGATAATATTCTCAGAAACAGCCACTGCAGCGTAGTGATCCATGGACCTAAACATTAAACTAAGACTGAGTACAGTCAATAAAAACTAAGAGCAGGAAATATTGATTTGATTTTTGCTCCAACCAATTTGGATCATAAGACTACTTTTATTTTGTTTGTGCATTATTAAAATGTTATTGGTGGAATATTGACCTACTGACCCGAGGCTGGAAAAAGTTACCATTTAGGCTTCAACTGATGTATTTGCTTACCCATCTCGACCTTTGCTGACAATCTTGACTTCAAAGTAGTAGATCCCACAGGCAGCGGGGATTGGATGTGTGGCTCGCACTGATGCTGCGTCCTTGTGGTTCTTACCATGGCCTGCAAGAGGAGAAATACAAGGTGCACGTGAACAATACGTGAACATAATTTTATGTAAGGAGTAAAGTATTCTGGAAAATTTATTGTCAAGGTCTGTGGTTTCACTGCAAAGAGATAAGTCGTCAGTTAAAGGACCATCACCTGCTGCTTCCAATATTATTTCATCAGCAAAATGGAGCTTTAGAATAACACTGGGAATGTCTTTGATTGTTGATTTTCTACCAAAGCTGGTAGAGCAGACAAACAGTTTTACCAAAACAAATGTTTGGTTGTTGGCTACGGTAAAATCCCAAACCAGCAGAGGCGAAGTCAACTGCTCGTAGAAAATCCTACATTTGTGCACTCATTTGCCTTTATTGTCTCAAGATGTGGCACAGACAGATCGGTGCATTTTGTTTTACACTAACTGGATGTTTAGTAGTGGTAGTGTCTAGCATCTAGCGAGCCTAACTGCAGCTTCACGCTATCGATTATATAAGAAAAAAAACTCATTCTCAGTTGTAGCCGTGGAACATTTACAAACTGTAAGCTGCTGGAAATCAACTTCTTTTCTAAACATCAACATCACATTTGTTTTGTTACTTGGACATTTTATGAACTTAACCTAAAAACCAATTATGTGACATAAATGTGGTAGCGCCTTTGGCTTTCCACTGATTCCCTATTCTAAGTAGGGCAACACATACCATTTCTAGCTTTGGTAAATCTGATCCAGAAGTAAAGGTAACCAACACAGATGACCAGAGCCAGACTGCCCTATGTACAAGCCAAATCATAGCAATAATCACTTGTCAGTCGTGTGACAATGTTACGTTAGGGCCATAGCTTTACTGATTTACTGTACTTTCATTTTTGTTGAACATTTCCCCAGGGCTTTGTTTGATGAACTTCTTCTTTGTCATTCTTCATTTTCTAGGACGTCTTATCAATCCACATATCAGATAGTCACATCCAACTATTTGACTTGATGTACTGGGATGTAGAAAGATTCCCCCCCCAGTAATCCATACTTTTGTTAAGGTGAGTTTCTATAATCATTTTTTTTGTCTCTGTGTGTAAAGATAACAGACTTAATAATCTGTGTTAAAGATGTAAACAAAAACAACAGGGTCAGAGGGCTTATGTATTGTCTCTGGACCAATTACATTCAAGCACAACAGTCATTACTGTTGGTCATTCTATATTCAGATGGCTGCTTATGCAATCCCTCGGGTCACGAGAGTGAGGTGTGTTGTATAACTGCTATCTAGGCTCTACAGTAAACATGTGCAGCTCTTTCAGTTACATGTAATCACACCATTGACATTATTGTGAGCTCTGTTTGTGTTTGTGTGTGCGTGCGTGTATGAAATGTAGGTAGGCTGTAACCTTAAATGGAGCAGCCGGCTGTCAGCAGACACCTCGAGGCTGTCGCAGGTTGTGTGTGTGAAAGACAGAGACAGAGCATGGCAGCCCCGGCTACAAACATACAGCCAGCTGGGAGCATACAGGACACGTAGTAATGATCAAATATGCTAGCTGACTGAAAGGGAGCTTAGTGTTCTGGTCTATATTTAACTATGACTTAACTTTTTTATATTTTATGTAACATTCACGCTCTTAGTGATTTACCCGTTCGTGAAATCATCATCCACACCGTGTACAGACATTGCTGACAGGAGATAAATGTCATACTGCTATCACTATGATATTGAATTACATGAGAATTTGCAGAACATTATTAATACATAAAATATACACAGCTGTATGTGCATCAGTGTCATCAAGGAAAACTCGTAGAGTAACCATAACATTCAGTCTTCCCCGTTGATTCAACACATCTACTGTGGTAACAAGGCATTTTATTACATGTGTATCACGCTTGTGCATGTGTCTCTACATGTTGTGTGCGCGTCTGTCCGGTCCAGTGGTTGCAGCAACATTCATGGAGTCTATTTTTAGCTGCTTCTCGTGAAAACGAGTCATCAGCAGGCCAACAGGTCTCTTTACAACTGCATAGATGGGTAAAGGAAATGACTACTACTTTTAACAACACCTACCGCCGCCTAAAATAAATTCCTACATTTAAAATGTTGCGTTTAAAATAAAATTTCAACCACATAGGATTTTTTTCATTGTCAAGTGATTGTGAGAAACTGTCTACGGATGTTTTAGAGACATACACCTCCAACAATATTAGCTACTACACCAGTACTCCAAAGAGTAACATTCACATAAAATTGTAAATTATTTAACAAAAATATTAAGACAAAACTGTGACTGCATTGGCACTGCAGTATCTCACCTTTCAGTTGTTATATGACATCAAACCTCTCTACCAGAGGTCACGGATCAAAGGTTAATGTCCTGTTCTTACCCCACAGCACAGGGAGGCCTTAGCCTAATTGCTTACTAGGAAACCAGCAATCCCACCTCAGGTTCTATCCTTGACCACAAGCAGGGGAAAGTAAAGCAAGCAAATCTATCAGTCCAATAACAGCAAGTACAACAAAGACCACAGTGCCACGTTGTCCTCTGAAGAATGAATAGCACTACGTCACCAATGAAGGGATCATGGGGGAATTCAGATGATATATTTATAAGTACACTGACTCTGCTGATTTTAAACAACTGACAAATAACCAACATTAAGAAAACAACATCTGCCCAGCACTGGCCTCACTGGGACACCTCCACACTGATGTAATGGCCTAGTTTAGCAGAGGTTAATGCCGAGTTCACACCATGTTGTTCATACTAATTACAAACAGCCAGATAAACCATTCACATGAGCCTCCTAGTTATTGTGAAATTCTCACAGCTACTATGTCTCACACATGGTGAAAAGAACTTCAAAAATGTCAACAGACCAGTGGCAAAATCTCTGGCATTTACATCTAAACAAAATCCAATATTGACAGAAATCCAGTTGATTCAGCAAATTCGTAAAAAGAGGTAAGGGTGATATGGCCAAAAATGTACAAGAAAATTCATATCATTAGCAGGGCTCGACAATAATGGTGGCCCAATGGCCCGGGGCCAGTAAAACGTAACGTCGGGACAGTTGAACTAGCAACTCACTGGCCCAATCGGGCCAGGACAAAAATATTGGTATTTTTAAAAAAAGAAAAGAAAAGAAACTCAACATCCTGCAGTTGTTTTGCAGCTCTTGGTGCGCACCAATGTCCCATCCAGAGTTGTAATTAATTGACGCGAGGTTGTCAAATGTTATTTCTCTAATCTCCATCATGCGGGACCTCTGGGTCGACAGTGAAACCATGCAGACGGAACTTAAAGCTGCATTGCAGGGGGCGAGTCCCATTAGAAATAATGGTAAAATGTTGCTACTTCTCAGCTGATTTATTACCTCGGTAAACACTTTTAAATGAGTTTATAGTCTCAGTCGCTAGTTTCAAGTCTTCTTAAACACAGCATGATGTTCATTTAGCATATTATGGACTACCTTGTGATTGAAAGGTCGCTACCGTGGCAGCCTGTTCATCGGGATAGAGGTGACTCGTGTCCGCTGCTCTGTGTACATTTTTCATAAATGGCTGTCAGCAGGAGAGCACGTCATGTTTGAGTCTGTTAGTATGTTTTGTTTAGTAAATTGTTTTGTTAACCTTTTTATTTTTTATAATTTTAACTGTGATTACATTTTATATCCAGGATGTATTTAATACGATTAAACACTTTTGGAAGGAGGGACAGTAAAAATTGTCTTTCAAACCCACTGGCCCGCTGGGGCCACTTGCAAAAAAGTTTAATGTTAAGCCCTGATTAGATATGGATAATTATCACGATAAATGTAAAATGATTGTTTCTTTCAAGTTTAAAGGCTGATTTTTGCGCCTAAATAAAAGTTTAAAAAACAACATGTGGTAATTGTGGTTTTAAACTTTTCTTTATGCACAGAACAAACACTTGATGCCAAATAAGTGAGTAAAATTAAGTACAATCTTTTTACAGTACCTTTTCACCAACAAAAAAAATTAAGTGCTAATTCATTCATGATTCAAATGAATTGAATCAAACATTTATTGAACATATGTTATGTTGCTATTGAGGAACATTTTATCGCGATAATTATCATTATTGTTTTTTTGCCCAGCCCTAAGCTAGACACACTGTGTGTGTGTTTGTACCTGGTTGCACTTGTTGACACATCACTACAAAATACTAAACACAACAAAAGTTATAACAATAAATACTGATGATACTTTAGCTATTTAAATGGCGACAGTACAAAGCGTGCAGTGGAGGTAAACATCTTGGAATAATGTGTTAATACTCTCGAGGTCTGACTAACAGGCAGGTCTCCTGTTCTTCCCACTCTGCAGACATTGTGTGAATGCAGCACAAAGTGAAGGCAGCATGGCAACACTTAACCCTGTTACTTAAAAATGTTATGCTAACCACTGTGAATTTTTAAGATACCATCTGACAGCTTTAACTGGCCACAATATATTTACAGTGAACAGTATGCAGTATGTAATCATCAGAACAATATTCAGATTTGTTTACATCCTGTAGTTTTTGTTTGAAGGGAGGAACAAGACATTAGTCGTGACTTAAACGTGCTAAACTAGAAAAACCTCCATTAAGGAGTGTTCATTGTTTTACACTTAGATCACATAACTCCTTGTAATGTCAAACAGTTACTTGGAAGGTGATTTTGCTTTCAGCTCGCTATTTTTTGTTTGCTGGTTGGAATGGTTGAGCTTAATACAGCTGGCCAGTATATACAGACAGCAGTCCCACCCAAGAAATACATAACATAATAAAGGCTCTACACACCTATGGCACATTCATACAGGTGTTTTCACTTATGATCCCTGTTTGACCGCTCATGAGTGTGTGGCCATGAACAAACAGTGCTTAATTGACATTTCCCTTACTACTCTTAGTTTTATTGCATCTGTTAGTCCTACTTACACCTTTGAAATTCTTAGCTAATGAACTGCAATTATTTACGATCTGTAACAGACCCAAGTACACACTGAAGGTGGCGGAGTAACCATTCAAGGTTAATCCTGCGTTCCAGACAATTCAAAATTTTTGACCTCAAAGTCATGGTTCCTACTTTTCAACTCGTGTGCAAATCTATTTAACCCGACTTCATGAAGAGGCAGTTGTCTGACATCACACAACAGTGGCAGCACCCCTGGAAGCGCATTTTGTTAATGGTAAACCCTCAGCTTAAAAGGCACAAAGTATATTTGCCTATATTTTATTAAAATAATATTGTATTGTATATTTGGAAAGTACTTTGGGTTGACTATTGTTGTTTTTAAATGTGCTATAAAGGTGACTTGACTTAATAAGCTACTAAAGCCCAATTAAATAAGCTACTGCTAGGTAGCAAATGAAAATGTTGACCAGCTTGTCAAAAAAAACTAAAAACTTTCTACTGACTCAGGGGGATCAAAATAATGTTGTTGTTTTTTAGAGGTTTTATCATGTAAACAGATTACTATGTTTGGAATTGCACAGGAGGTGGAAGTGACAATTCAGGAGCTGAAGTCAAACATGACATACTGTATACAAATATTCAAATCTCTCCACCTATACAGTAGCCTAACTGGGCAACAAAAAAATACAATGCAGCCATAAGACACCTCGTAAAACAGCATGTTAGCTATAACTCTCATGTGTTAAAGTAGCAGCGTGTTGGACACCTAGGCTGTATTAAAATAAAAAGTTTCTACTATGAGCAATTACGTCCTTGCATAACTATACCAAAAGTTTTGTCTTCATCCTTGGCACTTTGTCAATAGATGACTCAATTGTGCTTTGTCATGTATTTTGTTTGTGATTTTCAAGGACAGGATTTTAAGGCACAGCCAAGGATTGAAGGATGTCTAGTCCTCTTAGGTAACCTCAAGATTTCATGTCAGATGATGTATATCTGTTTGCTTTGTCAGGCTGTGACCTACATCACTTGGGGTGGTTTGTCGCTGAGTGTGAAGTGGTTAGGATGAGGGTCAGCAGCACCTCATGGTTCAGGTCATAAGAAGGTAATTCATCCACAATGGATTTGGAGTGAACTGCTGCCACATGTGCAGACACTTAATGCTGCATTACTTGATTTTTCGGGTCACTTCGGGACAAGTTGGAAAGTCAACATTTGCATTGTTGACCTTGAAAGTTGCTACGGCAAATGTGTTAGCAGACGCTTTCTTATTTATACATCCAGCAGACACTGAGCAACTTCACCATTCGTTTTAAGTCATGTCTCTCTTCAGCTCCATTCTGGTGTGTGAAAGATGTGACTCTTTAGCTGCTAAATGCTCCTCGATGTTTAGCAGCTAGTCGCTAACTTTGTCTGTCAGCCGTTTGGTGCTGAGCAGGTAGAATACAGCGGGTCTATCAGAGCTTTGATGATTTATGAAAACAGAGTTTAATGGTCAAAAAACCTAAACAGTTGGTTTAAAAGAGGCTAAAATGCACACTTCTGCACAGACACAGGGGTCAGTGTGAGGTAAATTTTTTCATCTGCCAATTTCTGCAATGGGCCAAGCATACTGGCTGTGTACATTACAACATTTATTTGAGTGTGCAGACTGTTTGCAACTTTATTCGTGTGTCATCATCTCTTTTGGGCTATATCCACAATTCTCTGTGGGTTTGTCACTACGAGTGACCTCTTTCACATCACTTTCGCATTGGATTACCTCCGATGCTACTGATGACTTGACTCATCATATAGCTGAGTAGAATAAATTTTAGCTTAAAATAGATTCAGTGGTTAGCAATATGACACAATTAGCAACGTTTGAACATATAAGTGGATTCGATCTTCTCATCTGACTCTCAGCAAGAAAGCAAATTTCCCAAAATGTCAAACTACTCCTTTAATGCCACATTGATAGTCCCTCACTATTTGAACTACATAAAATGAAAGACTGACCAGTGAACAGAGAGATAAGTTGTTAAAAAGCATATTTGAAGCACTTTGTAAGTTTTGTTTTGAAAAGTGCTACATACGTAATAAATGTGTACTTACCTATACAGATATGGATCACTGGATAATTACTATTAAAAACAGCTGGTTCATATGCAAGTCACTTTTCTGTATGTCTTTAAAAAGAAAACATAAATCCACAGAAAACATATTTAATTATTTATTTTTCATTCTAATAAAATCCTTAAACATGTTAGATATCCTGGAGGATGATGAAAAGACGCACTGAATGCTAGCCACTCTATTTTCAACAGCTACATATTAATTCATGCATACAAGCAGCACAGACAACACTAAGGTGTGCTACAGTCATAGGCAACAGTACATTAGGTATATACAGAATGGTTTAATCCCTTTATGCATGTAGCCCTACCCATCTTCCATCTATTGATCCTTAAGGCCTATTTAAAGAACAATGACATCATTTTTGCATCAGAATAAAGTATAGACATCCTTCATAGACCAGAGTGCTACAGTGCGTAAATAAAATCATATGACTCAGTTGGTGTAGTCATAGGCAAGTTAATATGTTGGTTTATATGTGTTACAGTGTTCATTTATGCATCTACCTGTTCAGACTGGGTAGATTAATCTGTGTCTGTGCACAACAGGACTAAGTAGACATGGTATGGCCTTGAACGGAGAAAATTGGCACACTGGTCAAAATAGCATTCAAACCACAAGGGTGAGGGAACGGAGCAGGAGCTAGAACAACCAGGAGGAGAAAAATTATCCCGCACACTCCAGAATAGACCTATTTATATCATGTCATCCCTGTACAATTATGCAGTGTCACATAATCTCTGCACTTTTCATAGACATAAAAGACTCAATGCCCTACATAACCTCAACATGAAATGACATGTCTTAATGTAAGACATACATGAGCCCATTCATCATTTTGTGCCAATGTCACAGCTGTGACAAGCGCATCGGTGATTCTAGACAGATTGCAAAGATCTCAATAACACTGCTTAAAATGGAAGGCAAGATGAAAAAGCCTATGTCACAACACTTTTTTTGTCACATCGTTAGCAGAAATCACCAGCATCCACAAAAATGATGCATTATTTGCATCTACACCACTGATTAACAGAATGTAGGTTTATATTAAATTTAACCACTGTTCTGTTATATGGTACATTAAAGATAGCCAGATATAAGTGGCTATCTACCTGAGGGTCTTAATGTTTTTTTGTTTGTTTTTACAAATAAGGGGCCTTTCCTGCTCTTCACAAACAGCAGGACCACTATGTATGTGCCAAATAAGCCTTACAAAATGGGTTACACAGCCTGCCTGCATCCTCTCATCCTCTGCATGTTCACTGATGTAAACAGCCAACAGGGCCCAAAGTGGCCTTGCAATGCCTCTGTGGAGATCATAGCCTGAGATGCAGGATTAGCTTGCCTGCTACCGAGGGGCTGCCCTGACGAAAAAATAACAGAGCAGGCACAAAAAAACCCCACTGAGAACAGGACTTCACACAGATGTCACCTTGTTTTGATTTAGGAGCTGGATGTATAAAATAATCCAGCTGACAGGCCTGGCAGCCCGTACTGACAATTTTTACCCATCCGAGCAAGTGATTAACTGCACCGTCTGACGAACAAAGTTGCTGTTATTGTGAAAATGCCAGAGTCTGCCGATACTACAGATTTATTACGAGATCGGTACATTTGGCCCAATATAACGCGAAGAGGCCTCCTCCCTCACAGCAGCTGCTGAAAGAGAGCTGGCTGCCTGCTGAGGGCTGGACATGAGTCTGTTGTTGAGCTCAGGACACATACAGATCTGAATGGAGGCTGCTTCCAGGCTGGAAAAAATGATTTACGAATTCTGGAAAAGACTTCTAGAACACTGCCACTGAAATCACGCGAGAAAACACAACAATGCCATTTTTATTCTATTTTGGTGCTCGCAGTAGTCAAAAACTAAACGTTGCTACATTGTAAAGGTTAACAACAAGTTTGGCTCGTGTCCATCTTGTAGCCAGCTTACTCTACTGAATACAATATTAGTGACAAGGAACAGCTAGGTGAGCTAACGTTAGCTAGTTAGCCACCAGGCTAACTACTCAGTTTGCTTAAGAAATAGCTTGCTGTTAGCTAACGTTACCTCCTGTTTGTTTCATACCATTCGTTAGCTTATTGGTAGACCCTTGTCTATGCGTCGTTATTGCTGCCAATGCCAGTTTCCAGTACAAACTATGGAGAACGTCAGATGCACAGTCAGTTAACTGCAAACAAATAACACCATAAACGGTAAATAAACAAAAGGAGAGCCGTGTTGTTGGTGGTGAATTTCATTGTGGTGGTAATAAGACCAACTGTCAGGGTTAGCGAGTTCACTGTCAACCATTAGGGCATTCCTCTGCTCGTTTGTGAAACAAAGCAAGGTTACAGGACAGAAGAGGCAGCTCAGACTAGATTTACCAGGAGTGCACACACACACATACACAATCAACATAATCGCATACTGTGTGTGTGAGTGAGAGACAGAGAGAGAGATCCCCCCCCCCGGCAACAACAACAGTGACAGATTTGAGCTGAGACCCTCTGCTGTTGTGGCTGGTTGTTTAGACCATCAGGTCTGAGCCAGCTCTCTAACCTTTGTAATGGACCCGCAGGTTGTTCTGTGACAGCCCAATGTAGCTGTATTTATCCTTGGGGCTCCAGGATCGGGGTAAAGGGGTCTCTTCCTCGTTCACAGCCGGGTAGAGCCGCTTCAGCCGCTCGTTCAGCTCGTGCTCCTGGTAATTAAAAGCAGGATCCCCTAACGGCAGGCTTCCCGCTCCAAGCTCTGCCATTTTTGGCCTCTGTTTTGTATTTTATTGTTCGTTTCTTTCTAGCCAAAGCCCCGTGTCAGTCCGCTGGAGCTGTAGGCTGAGAGTGAGAGGGACTGAGGGGAGAAAATAGCAGTGGTGTGACATCCCCGGATAAGCAGCAGAATGTACTGTATGCTGGAGCAGTGCAATCTGGGTACTGTAGTTCAGCCTCACGCTCGCTTTTATGATAATGTCTCTAGAAATGACTACTATCGTTGCCGTTACCTCGGTTTAGGGCTTTCATGGAGAAAGATAGCTAGGAAATGTAGTTTTTTTTAGCGGTTGAATTTTTTTTAGACAGAACATTATATATTTTTCTATACGTGGCACACGCACAAGAGAAAGTGGAACATAAATATATTTGCTAGCTAATTTACAACCTGAGATGACAAATTATTGACAGCATCATTGACACTGATTTTCAAAATATGCCGACTTCTAAAATTATTATATTTTAAAATATGATGTTTTTCTAATCTTCTGTGCCATCGCTTCTGTATTACAATCTAATTTATTGGAAGTTGTAGTATTTATGTGATATTTATAAAGTACGTTACCCGTATATTTATTTATGTGTCATGCATTTGTTATTGGCACTAGTCAGGGTTGATGGCTTATGAACACTCGTTTAAAAAGCGGCCTTGGTTAAAAAGTGTCTCTGTGTTCTCTATTGAAGAAGAAAGTTTTCGTCTCACTCAACTTGAAAACCAGTTAGGCGCGCCGCGGTCTACTATATGGGTCTTGGTGCGTGGTCCGTCCTCGTTCCAAGTCTGTTGTTGAGCTCAGGACACATACAGATCTGAATGGAGGCTGCTTCCAGGCTGGAAAAAATGATTTACGAATTCTGGAAAAGACTTCTAGAACACTGCCACTGAAATCACGCGAGAAAACACAACAATGCCATTTTTATTCTATTTTGGTGCTCGCAGTAGTCAAAAACTAAACGTTGCTACATTGTAAAGGTTAACAACAAGTTTGGCTCGTGTCCATCTTGTAGCCAGCTTACTCTACTGAATACAATATTAGTGACAAGGAACAGCTAGGTGAGCTAACGTTAGCTAGTTAGCCTGGTGGAAACCCCTTTACAACGTTGTGAGCTGTGATGCTAAAGCTAACCTTGAGGTAAACGGACCAAACTCCAACCATTTAAGAACAAGTGCGTGTTGTTCAGCCTTCAGATGTCACCACACAAATATATTAAATTTCCACCTTTAACACCGACCCAACAACAAAGGCAAGTGTTTAATATACTGTCATACGGGCGAAAGTATTGTAACTATTGTATTTTTATACTAACTGAATTAACGTTACACTGTTAAATGTAACTTAACCTAGCTCTGTAACTTACTTTTTTATTTTAGACTTACATATGATCATAGTCTACAAAATTACACTGTTCAGACATCAGAGGAAGGCCAAGAAGGAGAAAGTGCTGGTGCTGTTTCTGTCCAACCTGCAGCGAGAAAGGTAATCAAACCTGGCAAAATCCTACTTTGTATTATTGAATATGAATAACGGATAAATTAATTTGATTGCTGTAAAGATCATTGGTCAGAATATCTGATAATTGTTTCCCTCTTCTACTGTCACAAGAAAGTGTATGTGGTAAACAGTCTATGGGTAAACCCTATAGGTTTGCTGGACAGGTAGCAGTTACATTTATGCAGGCCTGGGGAGAAAGCCTCAACTCCTGATGCACCTGGAGAGCCATGTGAACAAGGAGCTGCATACTATCAGCTTGCATGAGCCAAAATTTCAGGAACTGAAACTACAGGTGCTATGTTTTTTGTAAATTTTTTTAATTTACAGCAAAACCTGAATACATTTTGGAACATGCAGAAGGAGCATACTCACATATCTTAAACTGCTTTGGCCACAGGTCTACCGTAATGTCTTTGACTGTTTGATCAAAGAGTTCAAAACCTACCAACCTCTTCTTTCTGCCATCAAAAAGGAATACGAAAAAACTTTAGGTCAGTAGCTCTGTGAGTAATCCTGCCTGATCATTTTCATTTCTTAAGAATAATTACACTGGTATAGTGCTCTTCTGAGTTGTGTCCTAAAGTGCTATAAAATAAAAGGAGCCTTTGAGTATGAAAGTTCAGCAAAGAATTAGTTAAAATTAAGGAACATCCTGGTTTTGAGGAAGACCGGAGATATCATGCTGTAAATGCTTTGGACTATTAGATTACAATACATATTACAGTAAAAGAGCAAGTTTGCTTGGTTCACATTGTGTCTGCAATGGAGCTTAATGAAGGATATGCTATGGGAATAAATAGTTGGTGGCAACACATATATCACATATATGTTTAGAGACTTAATTTGTTTAAAGTTAAAGACAATTAATGTGGTTCAGTACTATGTAAGTTGCACCGATACTGTGAAGTTAATGCCAGCCACTATGGTGCTGTCTGAGATATAATATAAATATATATATATCTCAGACAGCACCATAGTAGAATCATCATTTTTCATGTGGAACTGCAACTGTAACTTAAAATAACTGTATTTGTTATTGGTGATTCATCAATCAGTTTTTTTTTTTATGTATCCATTAGTCACTTAGCCTCTAAAATGTACAGTGAAGTGTTCATAGCAGCTTCTCAGATCCTGAAGTGACAGATGTATTCAAATTGCTTATTTTGTCAGTCAAAACATATTTCATGTACAAATGATGTGATATAAGCTTATAAAAGCACATTTGCAATTCATTAAAAGTAATTGTCAAAATTGACATCAATTGCATTTTGTTTAACCAAATAAATGTTTCAGCCCTGTCATTTCATGGTGGATCATTTTATAGCAGTTTACATCTGTTCAGCATATCAGCAGGATCAAATCCGAGAACTGGAACCACTGCGATCCCATCTGAGACTGGTGACAGAGGAATGTGACAGGAAGATTCAAGCTCGCTGGGCAGAGGAGCAGGCTCAGATTGGAGCTTTGAAAAGAGAGAAGCAGCAACTGCAGAGGGACATTGAGGCCATGATGGAGAAAGAAAAGGCCATGCAGGCAGTGGTACATGACATACTTCCAAAATGGAGCTCTAACCACTATTTATTTAATCATTCATGTAACTTATTAGGGAATACAACTTTGTGCTTTTCATTTCCACATGAATTCCTTCTCTTAAATATTGTCTTAAATATTTATTTTATATCCTACTCTAAAATATGTATATAAAAAAGTTATTTAGGGTGACAGATAGACGCCCCTTTATCCAAAAAATATTTTGTTTGAGACTCAGTTCAGTTGGTCAGGTCAGTGGTAGATTATCAGATTATCTTGTCTCAGTCACCCCCTATCTTCTATTCTCCAGGTGGAACGTCTGCAGTCTGAACTCTCCAACCAGTATCTGCAGTACCGGGAGGAACACGATGCCCGCAAGTTGCTGATCTGGCAACTCAGTGACCTAACAAGAGGCTCCTTGAAGGAGGAGCATCCTGCAGATGGAAATACAGGTTATTACAGAGTTATGACTATCGAGTCGATTATTCAATCAGTCGATTAGCTGATCTGCTGACAATTAATCTGGAGCAATTTTTATAATCAATTAATCATTTTTCTTTCATTCATGGTTAGTCTTTACTCTCCGATTGTAAACTGAATATGTTTGGGTTTTAGACTCTTGTCGGACAAAACAAGGCATTTGAAGACATCACCTTTGGCTTTGGGATCCCATGTGTTGGGCTTCTGTGTTGGGTTTCTGACATTTTATAGACCAAATCAAGAATCAATATTGAGATTAATTCTTTGTTGCAGCCTGAAACTGTTCATATATTTATTGTATTGCATTCCTTTATAACATCATAACTGATTCACAGTTTCTGGTTAGGGTCATTAGCCTGTCATTATAAGGGGTAAAAACTGCTCTGTCTTTTAGGAAATAGCTTAACATTTAAGGAAATAGGCAAATTTGCTTTCTTGCTGAGTCAGATGAGAAGATCAATTGTACTCTCACATCTGTCCATTAAATATGAAGCTACAGCCAGCAGCCATTTAGCTTAGCATAGCATAAAAACTGGAAAGAGGTAAAAAAAAATAAAAATAAAAATCACCTACTAGCACTTGAAAAGCTCACAAATGAACACATTTGATCTCTTTTGTTTTAGCCATACAAAAACTGAGGTGAAAAAAACGAGTTCTGGTTGTGCTGGTGGTTATGTGCTGGACCATTTCTTGACCCGAAGTCACTGTGTCTGGCTAATATGTAATCTGCCTGTCTGCAGTTTCATATTTACCCTACAAACATAAGAGTGGTATCTGTCTTTACATCTAACTCTTGGCAAGAAAGCAAATTATTTACCATAAAATGCTAAGTGATAAAACAATAACGATCCATTTTATGCTAGGAATTTATAAAATAAGAGGTCCAACCAAATACCTAAAATAGGAATATTCAAAATTAAGCATATTTTGTTTCCACTGTGGAAGAAGAGGCTAAGGACCCTGTGGAGCTGCAGCTCGCTCTGAGGGTGTGTCGGGAAGACCTGACTAAAGCACAGGAGGAGCTCAACAGGATGAAAGCAGAGTACTGGGACGTCGTGCCGCAACGCAATTGGGACACCCTGGAACAAACACACAAACAGACCCTCCTGCAGGTGGCTCATATAGACACATATGCTGTACACACAGTACACACATGTATGTACACTTACACAGAAGTCACGATTTAAAATCTTAACAGCCTCCACCCATGGTCTTGTTTTTGTATTGTTCATGGTGTCCAGTTAAAGACACTGCAGGGTGACTTTGATCAGTTGAAGAGTGAGTATGACACCCTGCTGGAGCTCCACAAAAAAGGCAGCATGCAGATCAAGACACATGAGCTCATCACTGTGCAGGTAATTAATAATACCCATGTGATCAAAAGTGTGCACAATATGTTGATCAAATGGTATGGAGTTGTGTATCCAAATTTAATCGTAAAGGTGATCATGTGTAAATGTGTGTGAGCTTCTGCTAAGCTAATTCATTTGTTACCATTTTACCCTTAAGAAACAAGCATATGTGCACAGATTTGTTTCAGTAAGATCTATTAACCTTGTTAAACGTGAAAGAAAAAAATTGGGTAACACACTTATTTGCTTTCTTATATTTGATTTTTAGCAAAGAGTTAC